TCCATTCCTGATAATGTAGATGGAAAACACCTGTTGCTCCATCCAACACCCATGCCTCCTGATGCCATGTAGAGGAATAGATGAGTGAAACAGAAGGAAAAGTAGACGGTCTCCCAGACTCCAAATTATATGACTAGACATACACCTGACTAGTATAGGTGTCGATTAGTAACTCTTGTCTTTTTCTTGAATTGTGCAAAAACTGACATTATATATAGAAAAAAGGTCAATTTAGACTCAGTAGCTGAAAACAATAGCATTGTATATATTATATTTACATTGATTACCTTATTACAAATTCAATTTCTCCTATCTGTTATGCCACACATTTTAACACAAGAAAAAATCTGTGCTCAGAAGATGGATGATGGACAAACTCAGAAGAGCCTTACAAAAACAAGAAGGTGCAGTCAGCCATGGGGTTGACCTTGTGTTTCTAAAGCGCCGTGCTTGCTTTTCAATGTAATCTCATCTGTGGAGACATTCACTAGCAAAGCAGAGACAGGAACAAACATAACACTTCTCCCTTTCTGTGACCTCCCTAGTCCTCATCCTCTTTCAGAATGTGATGCGACATTGTAGAAGAGCAAAAAAGAAGGAGAAAGACTGCATTCCTATTCAGGCAGCTACTGATGGTACAAAAGTTCCAGGGTAGCAGATATAGCCTGAAGAAAAAAAGTGTCGATTCCAAATCGACTAGATATATTTTATAAAGAAATTCACTTAAGGAAACGATATATCAAACAGTCAAAGATAAACATGAGTTAGAAATTTATTTTGTACATGGAATACGTTTCATTGATTCATTGAGAAGTGTAAAAATATTGCATATATTTAAAAAAAAGAACAAAAAAAGATTGCTATATGTGTGTATTGATAACTGATTAAAAAAAACTGCTATTGGTAGACTTTATATTTTTATATTATTTTTTGAATTCCTTTTGAATAACACTGAAAAAAGAGAGACCTTGACTACTAATGAAAAGCTTCAGATAATTAATCAGCAACTACAATTCAAGCTGCAAGGACTGGGTAAGGAGCAGTGATTGGAGGTAATTTATTTGCAGTCCTGCAGGATTTCTCACATTTGCTGCAATGTGAATCATCTGATGCAATGTTTACTTAATCAATTGCATTGTTTTATTTATAAGAAAAATAGTTGGTTTGGTAACAAAACTGCAGCCCTGCATAACTGTCCACATAACACATTTGTTATGTTTTGTGTTTCAGTTTTAGAAAGACAAATCTGCATAAGTCCTGATTGGAAATCGCTACAGCCACAGTTACTTTGGCTCAAACGCGGATCACACAACAGCTGCTGTAAGATATCTCACAGATTTCAGCCCAACTCTCCAACAGAACCAGGGCAGTGTGAAAGAAGGTGTAAAATATTTATGAATATATACGTATATATATATATATATATGCCAAACTTTTGAACAATTGTCCAGATACACACAGAAGTAAAGGCCATCCAAAGAAGAAATGAGAATATGCATATGATGTCATTTTCTTCACCATAAAAACAGAATCATTAATAAAGATACCATGCCAGATTAAAGAAATGTGCAACTGAGTTGCTATCTGTTCTCTGCATTTTTTTTCCTTTCCTGAGTCACTTATCTTAATAAAGTCTGATTTTAACGATGGTTATATGAATTAAGCTTTAGTTATATATTGTTATTGTTATTATTATCATTATAGTATATTCTGATTATTTAAAACACGTAAACAAGCATTTTGAAATTCAAGCATTTTGACACAACTTAGAGCTATAAATATATTTAAAGCTCAGAAGATTAGATTATTTATCCCTGAATACTGTATAGTTGAGTAGAAAGTTAACTTGTAAGAAAGGCACTCCCTTAATATTGAACAATAATGATAAATGTGTCTAAAGCTTCTTCAAATGGATCTTTAACATTATAAACTTGGTCTGAGTCTAAGAATTTTTAATAACAGATGTTTTGTTTCATTGCTAAATGAAAACTATTATTCCAATTTATCCATATTTACATTCATTGAAGAAACAGCAACTTTGGCTGAGACGTACATGACTGGATGAGGACCAGGCAGTTTCAATAACCTTTCATAGTGAGGAGGGAAGAAAAGCTCCAAACTCATTGCAGGACTTCAGCAAATACTTAAATAAAAGATTGTAAGTCTACAACAAAGGATTGATTTTAAAGTGTTTTACCAATCTCTACCAGTATGCAGGGTGTTTTAACAGTGAAACTAGAGTCCTGTTTGAACAACAACAACATTTAACTACTGTCAACCTAAGATATCCCTATACATTATTCATATATTCATTGTGTGTAGCTCTAATATTTATAAAAAACGGTTATTCTCGGGATATGGGAAACAAGATTCTAGTATGAACCACTCAGATGGAAGTCTAAAAGCAATCACATTTAATTGGTAGTATGAACGACCTTGCCAAAAGGGAATTTTGAAAGAACATTGTAAATGAGCATGAAGACGTCCTCTGTGAACATAGCCTGTATAACATAAAACAAATGCAAGACACACTTGTGCTCCATTTCATTGTTATTGCTGCTGTTGTGTTTGTTGGTACTATTAAAAGTAGTAGTTATCCAGTAATGCATGCAAAGAAAATTTATGAGTTTCGGTATCAATATTTCATAAGCAAATATTACCCTATAACCTGATTATTTTCAACTGTTTTCCAATTTTGTTCTCCTAAATATTTGAAAAGCTATCCACCGCTTTATTCTCTGTTTAGCTGTCAGGGTGAGGAGGTGTAATGTATGTTTCCAGCAGTCTGGAGTGGTCGCAAGATTGTAAGGTCAGTCGAAACACCAGTAAACCTAACAATCATGTTTTTGGACTGTGGGAGGGAGTCCTTTACATGCAGAGAACCCAGCATGTACTGAGAGAACATGCAAACTTCATGCAGAAAGATCCGTACCCACTACCTACAAGACAACAAGAGCTACACAGCACTCTACTGTCCAGCCCTCAGTTGAAATTTGAAGATTTTATTTTACTTAAACCTTAAATACATCAGCACTCCAACAACAAATGTCTCTGGTGCAAGCCATTAGAATTGACAAAGACTCCTAGAAAAGGTCTTCAGAAAAACTGAGAAAAAGTCCTGTTCCTTCTGATTTAAGCATGTGTTTTTGCTTCATCTGGTCTGATGGTTTACACGGGATTTGGAAATTTTACTCCTATTTTAGGTATTAACTGAATCCATCCAGTCAGAAGTAAATTGGGAATACACGAAAAAGAAAAAAAAACAAACAAAAAGGAAACTTTTCTGTTCCTATAATGTTGGGTTTAAAGATGATAGTATACGGGAGAGATAAATTTTATCCTCACCATTTGGATGTGCAGAGACAACATGTCAGCATAATACTTATTATAACAGTTAATGTGGTTTGGAGATCATTTTACTTCATTTAATTTATCAGTTATTTTATACATTTTTTTATTATATTTATTTCTGGACTAAAACCATTTTCATGAGTTCACATAAGTAAAAAGCACAGGGCTTAAAGCAAAAAATATATCCTCCGCCTGAACTTTTTCGACACAGGCAAGAAACTATATGTATATATGTATGTGTGTATTTTCATGGGGTTTTGGGGGCATGGGATTAGAGATTGCATGAATGATTGAAGACTAAATTTGAGTTTTGAAAATCCAATACCAAAAAGGCCTGAAGATGGCAAATGTGCATCTATATCTACCACTTGCCTGAACCATGCTACTGTTGATATCCAGTTTTGCTGCTAAGCGTTGTGTTCACAAAGGAAAGCACACACCCTTATTTTTAACTTGCATACACGGTCATTTATTGATGCTGGTACATCAGCTGTTGCCGTAGCTCCCGGCAGTCGTGTATGTGCGGGCCCGCACGAACAGCAGCTCAATGACCAGGGTCTATCTCATGTTTGCGTAGCACCTTTTTGCCACTGGATGCTTCCTGGAGCACAGCAAGCAGAAGCAAGTGCCTGGTTCACCTAACTTCCTGCGCCAGCTCCTAAATGGCTATAATACTTTAATCCCTGACAGCAGTAGAATAGAATTTAACTTTATTGTCATTACATTGTCACAGTACAAAGCAACAAAATTCACTCTGCATTTAACCCATCCCCTTAGGTAGCAGGGGGCTGCCATTGTGCAGCGCCTGGGGAGTGGTGTGGGGTTAAGGGTCTTGCTCAGGGACCCAGAGAGGCAGACCGTGGGAGTAGGGCTTGAACTCAGAACCTCTGGAAACTAATTACATGAAAGCATTTAAGTTGGTTATCTTAAAAGCAATGAAGCCAAATAACACCCTGTTCAGAGTAAAACAATCCAACACAAACAAAGAAACACAGCCATGATGGTTTTCATGCAGGTATGTTGGCATTACATTATTTTTATGATGGCTAACTTTTAATGCCAGAATGACCAGACTGTACTCATTAGAGAAACATGCTCTAAACCTGAAAGCTATTCTTTAAAATGTAAAGGATATGTTAAAAGCTGGATACAAAGATCAGCTTCAGGCAAGCAGGTTTTTCTCTGGTTGAACTGCCACACTTCAGACCTCTATCATTGCATGTGTCCTTCTCTCATCTACCATGCTGAGAATAAAAGATTTTCCTCCTTTAGGTTTATGCTTTTGCAGTCAGGATCATTTTCACTTGTAGCTTTGATAAATCAGTTGTACTTTTTATTTATACAGTGATTTTCCAACACAAAAGAACATTTTTGGAGCCATTTTGTTTTTGTTGCATAGCATCAGTTTATATTCTGAATTTTATTTAAACGGTACTCAGTGCAGTAAAGTGAAAAAAAAAATCATAGTAAAAAAAAAAGGGCAATTTGTAAAAGTGGCAATAAGTATTTGTCCCTTCTCAGATAAGAGAATCATACAATGAAGTAAAAAAAAACGGTCAATCGAGGCTTTTAATTATAGTTTCCTTGTTTTACTAAGGATAATGTACATGCATTTTTAAACACTGCTGTATTAAACTGATTTAAAAAAAGAACGAAATATAAAACAGTAAAAAAAAAAAAAAAACTGAATTTGGTTATACTGTGTGGAATAGATTCAGAAAAAATACAGCTGTACTGTTGCTGCAGCAGCTCTGTTTGGAGATATTCTGTTTTACCGCACTGCCAAAGCCTTGCTGCAGAACAGTTCACTTCACATTGAGGCCTTGGTCACCCTCTAGTGATAAAACTGGATATAAGAAGAGTTTTGAAAAGCAAGATGAGCTCTGCATAAACCAGTACTTGTTGGGATTCTGCATGCACGAAATTACATTAGCATTTTGAAGCTATGAAATATATTTATATTAAATATATTTAAATTTCCATGTATCCAAGTGGCGAAAGAAAAAAAATATACACTGCAGATCTCTGGATATTAATTAGCTGTCTCTTATAAATAAAAATTATGTTTTGACAAACAGGTCATTAGGTAAAAATACTTACATTCATTTTGTCCCATATGTACCAGTGATGCAAAAACATTTCTGATTGTCTTTTGACACATTCTGCCACCCAGTAATGATGAGGAACTGCCTGCATCAATACTTTAACAAATATCAGTAGTTAAAAAGACTCAGGGTTAGAAAAATAACCACAACTTACTAAAACCAATGTTTTCCGTATCTAAAAGTCCTCACTGCTTTCTGTCTATCATGCTTCAGCGGGATTTCAGACAGTCATGCATCACTGCAACCTCAGCTGGCTGAGTAGCCATCTGAGTCAAAGTCCGAGGCATCATCCACTGCAGAACCACTTAGTGGCGGGTACGGCCTTGGCTGATCCAGGTTGATGTAAGTAACCTTAAGGTTGATGTAGTGTTCTCCTTCCAGGCCAGACAGGATTTGGTCAACTTCTGCCACCAAGCTGTGGAAACTGGGTCTGCATTCAGGTTCTGGGTCCCAGCAAGCCAGCATGATGGAATATCTGTGGACGATTTTAGGAAAATAATTAAGAATGCAAATGTGGAAACAAATTAAGAAGGATTCAATAATAAAGTGACAAACAGAGACTTATAACACGGTAGTACATACAAAATCCTAAAAGTGCCCACTACTAATCAGTTATTTTAAGTAAGCCTGCCTGTTTGAGCTAAAGTTCACCTTGTTTGCTAGATAATTAAACTTTACTCATCTTCATAAAATGAATTAAGCTGAATAGATATAGTATGTGAACAGGAAATACCATAGCATGCCATGGAGTCTCGAGTGGATTTAGGTATATACTTTTACTGGAAGATTATAAGATTAAATGAACCTGCTGTTTCTCTGCCAAAAAAGAAAATAAACAAAGCATGGTACGGTCCCAACTATGTGTCACCCGACTGTCTTTATGACTTTTTCTCTTGACTGCCTTTCAGTTTAGTTGGACTATAATTTGTTTTTAGCTGAGAATGAGATGCACATATGTGTATTTTATTTACTAATTCTGTGACCATTGAAGTCATTGGGTTATATCAAGTAACATCACTGAAGGGGCTGAACACAAATACAAACAGTTTATACAAAACAAACTAAAATCCTTGTTTCTTTTTAGTTCCACTTACAGCCGATAATATACCTAAAAAAAGGATTTTAAAAGGGGAAAAAAAACCTTTTTCTTATTTTATTTGATAGATTTGTGAGCTAATGGGCTGCTTACATAGTATCTGGGCAATACTGTGGCTGTGGAAGTCTTCGTCCCTTAAGCAAGTAGTGTGTGATGTCATACGGATCCACGTCCGGATATGGGCTGGCTCCTCTGGTTATCAGTTCCCACATTAAGATGCCGTAAGACCACTGGAAACAAAAATGAAAATAGATTAAAGTGAATCTAAACTATTTCAGAAGGATAAAAGATTGTTTGCCATTGTTATGCAGAACCACAGTTTTTCTCCCCTAGGTTGTTAGATAGAAAACCTATTTGAATGCAGGACTGTTGGGTTTTGCAAAAATTTAATGGATCAAACTTCTGTTTTCTTTTTACCACTATTTCTATCATTTTATTTCACAGAAAAACAGTATTCTGTACATTTATACTGTAGATTTAACAATGATTTGAATGCAACCTTCTCATCTCAACAAAACAAATAACCTTTCATGTTTTACAAAAGAAATAAAGTTTAAGGAAAAATAAATAATTTTAAAAGAAGGTATCCTAAACTGCAGCATTAAGGATATTTCATTGAAACCTAGTTATATTATAGTTAGGTCTAAGTTTCCATTGATTCCACTGGTAGAATTATTTTTATCAGGGGCGGATTAAGAAATTTTGGCCCCCTGGGCCTGACATGGTCTTGGCCCCTCAACCCCCCGCGCGTGCGGGCGCACACACACGCACGCACTATGCAAGAAATACTGTATACTGTGAACAGACATTGCACACTGTCGTGTACAGAAGAGTGCACATACTGCACACACACTATTAGGTATACCACACAGACACTGACAAGCACAGGTTTCACACAGACACAGGGGGAGGGGATAAATGGCCTAAAAATAAACATTTTGGAAAATGATTATGCCCACTTCAGTGATGGTGCATTGGGTCATTTAAGAGATATTATGTATTGGAAGTTGGTAGCTATCATGAAATAAACCCCCCACCCCACCCAAAAAACTAAATCGGACATGATTTTTGCCCCCTTTTCCTCCCTTCTATCATTAAAAATAAAATAATATCTTAGGAAAACACTTTGGCATAACGGCAGCTGTGCAGCAAATTGAGGCTCAAAGTCTGTATCTATTTGTGGTTAAGCTTGAGGAGAAGGAGAAAGGTAAAATGATAACATGCATCGGAGAGCACCACAAAGAAAGGTGTAGGCCAGTTCATGGTACAAGGGCTGCATGCAGGTCAAGATAGCCCATTTCCAAGAATGCTATAGTGGCTGGACAGGCACTGGACATGTCCTGAACTCAGTGTCAGACGTGGCTGCCGAATACTTGGATGAAGTGAAGCAGCTGACAGATCTCATGCTGCCCCATCTGAAGACTGTCCTGGCCAGGCAGAGGATGGATGAGGAGACCTTCCCAAAGGACCCTGTCAGTGAACAGGCTAGTAACATTGATGGCACCCCTGTGCACAACATTGGGATTGAGAGACAATGTGGCAAGGTGGCAGTGGCGGCTGGTGAAAACTATTTTTGGTGGGGCTGATATAGCCTAGTGTATGTCTCCAACTAATCCGGAATAAGAATTCAAATAAACAATTGGACAATACATACAATTTAACAGTAATGATTTAATTTACTATATAATAACAGTAACAGTGATGATTTGGGTCACTGTGACGGGGTTCTTTGGCCTCCAAGAATCCAGTCTCAGTCGGGTTACCGGTGTTGGTGATTTATTGAGCTCAAAAACTCAAAACAGGGTGCAAAAGAAACTAAACATGTACAAGATACTCTGGGCCTCAGCCTCCCTCCAGTTACCAGCAATGTAACAAAGAAACAGAAAACAAAAATTGCCGCTTTTCTTCCCACAGCCCTCATTAAATAGTTTAAGCCCCTCACATCAGGCTCTCTTATTTCTGATTTCTTCTCATTAATCAGTTTTGTCCATATATTACCTCCACAAACAATTGATGTACAAAAACAAATAATTTTTACAACTTAATTCTTTTACACAGATTCATTGACTTATTCAATTACACCAAACTGGGTTTGAACCCAGCAAAGACGCAGCCAGACTGAAGATGACAAGTCCCCGTAGCATAAACACGTACACCCACACACACGGCTAACCCCACTGAAATATTAAGTGTGCACCCTCAATATGCCAGCAGGTAACCAGGAACAGCTTGTGTGTTTTAAGTTCATGGAGCTACTGGTCTCAGCGCGAGTGTATTGGTCCTCACAAACACAGTATAACAGGAATGTGTGTGTGGCGCGCAAAGTTAGAGAGGTTGTTTTAAGCGACGAGGTGGATTCGTCACAGTCACAATAACCATGACATGAAATGTTCATATCCTACAACAGGGATATTCTTCTGGCAAACGGGTAGATAAATAAGGATCTCACCGAATTTGGTGGAAGCTGCATCTCGGTCGTTACATTCGCCATCTTCCCTCTAACTGTCTGCACCTGCGCTTGGGTTCAGAAGCCTGTTAAAGCGCAGTATTTTCAGCGCCCCAAGACCATAAAGTTCTGAGACGCTGATTGGCCATTAAATTCACCTAGCAATAGTACATGATTGACAGATTCTCTGCAAATGTGGGTCAGTCTGATCACAGCCCCCAGAACAGAGACGGTAGGAGTCTGTCTGTGGAAATCCACAAATTAATGACAATAGATAGGGAAATGTAGTTTATATAATTTGTTTTGCTTATAGGTACACAGTCTAGAGAGTAAAACTGACATTTATGAGTTAATTTCTAAAAATATATTTTACGTTTCTCTCTTCTTATCAGGGAGGGCGGTGCCCCAGCGCCCCCTATGGGCCGGCTGCCACTGCAAGGTGGACTACAAACTGAAGAAGTTGGGCACACTGAACGCAGTCAATAGGTCAATAATTTTACAGAAGTGCCAGGAGCTTCAGAGGTTTCAAGGCAGCAGCACAAGCAAAAAGGGAGGTTGAACTCAACTGGAGTAAATTCATGAAGGCAAAATTCGAGAGTAGGGCAGATGAGAAACAAGAGATGGCTCAAAGAAAGGAGAGTAAGAGACTAGACATGCTGGACACACTGAAATCTTGTGATGGCCCCTTCACGATAGTGGGGAAGTTGAAAAGTTCCTTGTGGATGAAAGTCTGCACAAGAATGCAAAGCTGCAGAGAATGAAGCTTGAGGTTCAGTTTGCCAGAGAAAGCACCAAGCTTCTGCCTAAAGTCAATCCTATCTTCACAATCCAGGTGACACTTCCCAGAAATGGCGAAAGTGCAATTCTCCAAGTCATAATGGATACTTAGAATTTTATGGTGGTGGTAAGTATTCATGAAAACAGGTAGCCTAACATTAGTGAATGGGTGAATTCTGGAAATAACCTAAAAATCTTACACAGTGCACCTTTAAGCAAGGGGTTTCTTTCGTGCTTTCAATTTTGCAAAATCATCCACCACATCATTGAAGTCCAACTCTCTTGTCAGCTCACTCTCAATTGCCATTAGAGATAACGCATTTAATCTTTTCTGAGTCATTCTTGTGCGCAGCTCATTTTTTACTCTTGACAAAAGAGAGAATGAGCGTTCTCCCTCACAGTTACTGACCGGTAGAGTGAGAAAAATCTGTAGCGCAATGTATGTATTAGGAAACGTAGGCTGTAGTCCAAAATGTATTATTGTTTTGAGCAGTCCTGAAGGGGTCCTCTCCTCATCAGTGTTGTTGAGCTGTATAAAAGATTTGAACTGTATAAGCTCCTGTCCAAGACTTTCATTGAGGTCAGATGGGTATCAGTGAGAATCTTGGCCTTGAGAAGGACTGAAGCATTGGACTCTGTATCCAAAGAGAAAAGGACACTGAACAAATTGTTCAGATGTTTGTAGGCCTCCAGACGGTGATTAAGGCTTGAACTCAGTTGATCAATAGAGGCAATAAATGTCTCTATTTGAAACAGTTGCCTTCCCTCAAGCACAACATCTGGGGATGCTGATTCATCAGCAAACTTTTTACATTTCCTCGTCCGTTCAGCCCTGTAAGATGGGGTGCCACCCAACATGTTTAAGGCTTTCTGCTCAAAATGATCAAATAGATCTCTTTGGGAGAGAACAAAGGTGCGCAGAGATTCCAGCAATCTAACTGCTGTACCAAGGTCCATGTCTACTTTTTGAAGTTGCAGACTTGTGGCCTGAAATCTGGACAGAACAGTGTCCCAAAAGCCTGCCATGAAGGCCATCTCAAGTGAATCCAGCTTCCGCACTAGACTGTCAGCTTCAGTTCGTGTGTCTCGTTTCTCGTTTCGCATTATCATAAGCCTGCCCCCTGCAATTTGACAGCTCTAACCCTAGATTTTCCAACACAGACATGACACAGTTAGCCAAACTTTCACCTGTATGGCTAGTAATGGGCTCAAAACCCACAAAGCGTTCAACAACACTGCCCTCTTTGCTAACAAAACGGAATATGAATGTCAATTGGTCCACATGAGATAAATCCGGGGTTGAATCCACAATGATAGAGTAGTATTTGCTTGCTTGCAGTTCATCTGTTATAGCCTGTTTGGTTTTTGCACCCATCAATTCAATGAATTCCTCACAAATGGTGGAGGACAGATATGAGATATTACCTCGACCCATCTGCCCAAATCCTTTAGAAAGGGATCAAATTCAGCCAGGACCTCCAGAATACCAAGGTAGTTCCCATTGAGAGGAGACCCTAACGATTCATTTTTACCCCTAAATGCAAGGCCCCTTTCTGCAAGGAATTTAATGACTGCAACAACTCTTTGTAACACCTGCCTCCAATAGCTGCTCTCTGCCTGAAACTGTTTGAACAGGTCTGCATCAACTGTGGCACCTTTGGCGCGGTTCAAGACTGCTTGCATGCAGGTTATGTGCTCAGCACTTCGCTCATGTTCACCAAATCTTTCTGAGTGTTTCCAATCACAATAGCCTGTCACAAAAGAATGCGTTTTTGGGGAAAACAGTTTGCATGCAAAGCAGTAAACATTACCAGTAGAGGGAGAGTACATCAGCCACTCTGTTTGTACTCGTTGTCCATTGGGCAAGTGTGACGTAAAATGTTCATTGTTTAGGCATCGGGTTTTGCCTCCTAGCCCACTGTTCCTCACAGAAGCTGGATAATGGCTGTGACGGTTGTGAAATGATTTTGCACCTCTTTGAATAAGAACTTCCTTCATTGACTCAGT